AATCTCAATCTCGAGTTGTATAACAACACTAGATCTCCGGGCTTGAAGTTCCGATCTAAGATGTGCTTATCATGGATCATTTTCATCTTTTATTTGTATAATCTAGCATTCTCAAATGTATGGAACCTGAATTCCTCGAGCTCATGTAACTCAGTGACTCTGCTGGTGGCTGTGGTCTCTATATCCAGATTCAATTGCCGCAGTTACCAAAGTGCTTTATGTTTGAGCTCTACCGGAAGGTGGCATGCCTTTCCAAACACCAACTTGTACGGTGACATACTAATTGGAGTTTTGAATGTTGTGCGGTACCCCCATAATGCATCATCCAGCTTCTTCGCCTAATCAGTCCTTGTTGCATTCACTGTCTTTGTGAGGACACTTTTAATTTCTCTATTAGACATTTCAACTTGCCAGCTCGTCTGTGGGTGGTGCGGTGTGGCGAACTCCATACTTTTCCAACAGACGTGCGAACGCTCAATTACAAAAATGGGTTCCACCATCACTGATTATAGCTCTCGGGGTGCCAAAACGTGTGAAGATGTTTTTCTTTAGGAAATTTGTTACCCCTTTTGCATCATTGGTTGGGAGAGCCATCGCATCGACCCACTTGGAGATATAGTCAACCACTACCAATATATATTTGTTACCATACGAGATGACGAACGGCCCCATAAAGTCGATCCCCCACATATCAAAAACCTCCACCTCTTGAATTGTGGTCATCGGCATATCGTGACGGTGAGATATGTTGCATGTCCTTTGGCATTCATAGTAACTTTTTACCCCAAGCATGGGCATCCTTGAATAGGGTAGGCCAATACAATCCCGATTCCAACACTTTTGCTGCTGTTCGGATTCCTCCAAAGTGTCCACCATATGGTGAAGCATGGCAAGACTACAAAATAAAAGGTTGATCTTTCTCGGGGATACACCTCCGGATCATGTTATCTACACATATTTTAAACAATAGAGGTTCGTCACAATAATAGGCTCGATAATCGCGGAAGAACTTTTTCTTTTGTCATCTTTATCAGCTGTGATGACCCAAAATGTCATCTTTAAATTTAATAAGTAATTTGATATTCTAAGACCTCAAAAATCACCATTTATCATTCCTCGACTTGCGTGCGCAATCCGTATAATTTTTCGGAATGTTTTTTTTGTGAAAAATGGATTAAAATGTGAAATATAGCTTTAAAACTCAACTAAGTTGACTTTGGTCAACATTTTGAACAAACAGACCCAGATCAGTATTTTAACAATTCCAGTAGGTCCGTATCATGATTTGGGACTTGGGCGTATGCCCGGAATCGAATTCCGAGGTCCCTAGCCCGAGATATGGAATTTTGATGAAAAATTAAAAGCTTGAGATCTTAATAATTTTTAAGAAATTACTGATGTTGGATTTATTGACCTCGGGTCTGTATTTTTGTTTTGGAATCCGTTATAGGTCCACTATAATATTTATGACTTGTCTGTCAAATTTGGTGGGAATCGGAGTTGATTTGACGTGATTTGGACATCCGGTTGTAAAAATATAAGTCTTAAAGTTTTCTTGAAAACTTCCTTTGATTTGGTGTCCCATTCGTAGTTCTAGGTGTAATTTTGGCGATTTGATCGCGCGAACAAATTCGTATGATGTTTTAGGACTTGAGTGCATGTTTGGTTTGGAGCCCCGAGGGCTCAGGTTGGTTTTCGGGTGGTTAACAGATTCAAAAACCTGCTTCTGGTTTCTTTCTTCGCGTTCGCGAGGGGAGCCTCACGTTCGCGAAGAGGAAATTTGGACTGGAACTTTTTGTGCTTCGCGTTCGCGACTGAGGGAACGCGTTCGTGAAGAGTCGAGGTGCAAAGCTTCGCGTTCGCGATCGAATCCCCGCGTTCGCGAAGGGAAAGGGCTGGCCAGGAAAATGGCATTCGCGAAGGCCAACCCAAGCAAGCTTCGCGTTCGCGAAGTAGCCCTCGCGTTCGTGAAGAGTAAAATTGGTCAGCAGGAATTTGTGCTTCGCGAACGCGAGGCACTGACCGCGTTCGCGAAGGATAAAAGTTCCAGAAACAGAACTTAAGTTCTGGAAAATGGGATTCGTCCCATTTTCAACCCTTTTCCATTTTTGAGCTCGGGTAAGGCGATTTTTGGGTGATTTTCAAGGAAAAATATTGGGGGTAAGTGTTTCTTATCCTATATTGATTATATTTCATGATTCTATACTCGTTTATATCATGAATCCGTGAATTTATGGAAGAAAATTCAGATTTTTATAAAATCTTCCAAAAATAAAAAATTAAGATTTGAAGGTCCATTTGATATCGGAATTGGACAAATTTTGTATGGTTGAACTCGTATCGGAACGGATGTTCGAATTTCGTGAGTTTTTTCGGGATTTGAGACTTGAGTCCCACTGCCGAATATTTTAATAAATTTTGGATTTTTATCCGGAAAATTTGTAAATTCATATGGAATTAATTTCTATGATTCGTATTGAATATATCGAATTGTTTGTGAATATATTTGAAGATTTGGGAGGTGAATTTAAAAGGAAAAGGTGTGGTTGAATAATTTATTATAATTTGCAAAGCGAGATAAGTGTCGGGGTTAACCTTGACTTGAGGGAAGAGAACCCTTAAATTATTTCTTATGTGAATTGCATGTGAACGATGTATAGGCGAGGTGAAGAGTGTCTATACATTGTCAAATTAATTGTTTGCTGGCTTACTTGAAAAATCATAAATTATTTTTAATCATAAATTAATTATTATAATAATTGTTTCTCTCTTATTCTTTGTCAAAATATTAATTCTTGCATTAATTGTTACATGCTATTTGAATTATGTGTTTTAATTGTTATTTGACATTTAGCATATTAAATATTAAACTGCCTATTTTCTCCCTGATTTATATAATAAATTATTAATTGTCATTGTTTGTTTTATAATTAAATTATAATTGTTGTATGTTTGTTGTCTTATAATTTTATATTAATTGTTGAGAATATTGGTGAATTTCTTCTATAAGAATTGATTGAAATGGAAATATGGAAGGATCGGGTTGCACGCCGCAACAGACTTATTAAAATTTAATATTGGAGGATCGGGTTGCACGCCGCAACAGACTTGTTAAAAAGTTAATATTAGAGGATCGGGTTGCACACCGCAATAGACTTAATGAAAAGTCAATATTGGGGGATCGGATTGCACGCCGCAACAGACTTATTTAAAAGTCTATATATATACTTGATTGAAATAAATATATAACAGACTTAATTAAAATGGATATATTGGAGGAGCGGGTTGCACGCCGCAACAGAACCGAAAGTTAATATATTGTGAGAGCGGGTTGCACGCTGCAACAGAATTGAATGTGAATTTATTGTGAGAGCGGGTTGCACGCTGCAACAGAATTGAATGTGAATTTATTGTGAGAGCGGGTTGCACGCTGCAAAAGAATTGGTTGAAATAATAATGGATTATGACTGCTGAGTTGGCTTCAATTAACATAAATGAGTTACCTGATTTATTTCTATTATTTGTTGTTGTTATCAATATTGCATACAAGTTAATGTAAGTGAACCGCCTTAGCCTCGTCACTACTTCGTCGAGGTTAGGCTCAGCACTTACCAGTACATGGGGTCGGTTGTACTGATACTACACTCTACACTTCTTGTGCAGATTTTGGAGTTGGTCTCAATGGCGTACCATAGACTTGCTCGGATTTCAGCTATCAGAGGAGACTTGAGGTATAACTGCATGTCGTCCGCAGTTCTGAAGTCCCCATCTATTTTACTTTAGCTATGTGTTTATTTTCAGATAGCTATATTTTATTCAGACCTTTATTTGTATTTATTCTAGAAGCTCGTGCACTTGTGACACTAATTCTGGGATGGTATTTAGACACCGTCATTTTTATGGATTATTTCACCATATTTCAAACTTTGCTTCTGCATTTGTTTCTTGATTATTAATAATTTAAAGATTGTTTAAAAATTGGTTAATATTAGTCTAACGTTGACTTACCTAGCAAGTGAAATGTTAGGCGCCATCACGGTCCGAAGGTGGGAATTTCGGGTCGTGACATCAGCATACCACGGCGTCTCCTCCATTGTCACAACAAGTAACTGTTCATCCGGGAATGTCTATGTTATGTCTTCAACCTCCATTCTCTTTTCAGCTCCTTCCAATCTTGAGAGGTGGTATGCCACTTGATTGTCCGTCCCCTTTCTGTCACGGATTTCTAGATCGAATTCTTGTAGCAACAGAACCCATCGAATCAAGCGTGGCTTTGACTCCTTATTTGCAATCAAGTACCTAATTATTTCATGGTCAGTATAAACAATAACTTTTGAACCAATTAAGTACGACCTGAATTTGTCGAAGGCAAACACTACATCCAATATTTCCTTTTCCGTTATAGTGTAATTGAGCTGTGCACCGCTGAGCGTCCTGCTTGCATAGTAAATCGGGTGCATCATTTTGTCTTTGTGTTGCCCCAAGACTACTCCTATAGCATAATCACTAGCGTCGTACATGAGCTCGAATGGTTGCTCCCAGTAGGGTGCTACTATGATGGGTGCAATCACCAATCTCTTCTTCAGCTCCTCAAAAACCAACCTGCAATCATTAGAAAACATAAAGGGTTGATCTTTTTCAAGCAGCTTACATAAGGGGTTAGTAATTTTGGAAAAATCTTTAATGAATTGCCTATAGAACCCGGCATGCCCAAGGAAACTTCTCACTGCCTTTACCGAAGTGGGCGGTGGCAGCTTCTCAATCACATAAACCTTAGCATGGTCGACTTCAATGCCTTTGCTAGACACCCGATGCCCCAACACTATTCCTTCTTGTACCATAAAATGGTACTTTTCCCAATTCAACACCAAATTTGTCTCTACACATCTTTTGAGCACTCTTCTTAAGTTGTGAAGACAATCTTCAAATGAATCCCCAACCATGGAGAAATCATCCATAATATCCTCCACCATGTCAGTGAAAATGGGTAAGATGCACCGCTAGAATGTAGTCGGTGCATTGCAAAGTCCAAAGGGCATTCTCTGAAAGGCAAAGATGCCATATGGACAAGTGAAGGATGTTTTCTCTCTGTCTTCCGGGGCTATTGAGATTTGGTTATACCCCGAGTATCCATCCAAGAAACAAAAGTGGGACCGCCCAGCTAACCTGTCTAACATTTGGTCAATGAAAGGCAATGTGAAAAGGTCCTTTCGAGTGGATGTGTTCAGTTTTCGATAGTCCATGCAAATCCGCCACCCCGTGACAGTACGAGTCGAGATCAACTCGTTATTCTCATTTTGTACGACCGTCATTCCTCCCTTTTTCAGCACACATTGGACAGGACTGACCCAGTTATTGTCAGAGATGGGGAAGATGATACCCGCATCCAGCCATTTGATCACTTCCTTATTTACTACTTCCTTCATATTCGGGTTTAGTCGTCATTGATGCTCCCTGGAAGGTTTGTGCCCCTCTTCCAGAAGAATCGTCTGCATGCAAAAGGTTGGGTTGATACCCTTTATGTCTGCCATGGTCCAACCAATGGCACTCTTACATTCTTGAAATACCTACAACAGTTGCTCTACCTGTACAACTAGCAAACCAGATGATATAATAATAGGCAAAGTAGAATTAGCCCCCAAGAAAGCGTACCTGAGGTGGGCTGGAAGCGGTTTCAAGTCTAGCTGTGGTGGCTCCTCTATTGATGGTTTTGCAGGTGGTGTTGCTCTCTCTTCTAAGCGTAGGGGCTCGAACTGAGGTTCCCTTTTCCAGAATCCTTGACCTTCGAGAGCCATGGCCCACTCTTCCAACCCTTCACCATCCATCTCTTCCAAATTCATCAAGCAGGCTTCTAGTGGATCCTTGACATTAAGGGTCTCATCCTCTTCTTGCAGTATCGCATCCATGGCCTCCACTAGTGAGCAGTTTGCAAATTCATTGGGTCTCCTCATGGATTGTTGAACGTTGAATATTATTTCTTCATTTTTCAACCTCATTTTCAACTCTCTAGTCTCACAATCAATTAATGTTCTCCCAGTGGTTAAGAATGGCCTTCCCAGAATGATGGGTATCTCTTCATCCACCCGACATTCAAGAATAACAAAGTCTGCAGGAAATACAAATTTCCCCACTTGCACAAGCACATCATTAAGAATTCCTGTCGGTCTTTTGACTGTACGATCGGCCAGTTGCAGCAACATTGAGGTCGGTCTAGCTCTGCCTATGCCTAGTTTTGTATAGATTGCCAAGGGCATCAAGTTTATGCTGGCTCCCAAGTCACACAATGCTTTAGAAAAAGCATAACTCCTAATAGTGCATGGGATAATGAAGCTACCTGGATCAGACACCTTTTGGGCCACAAGTCTTGTCACTACCGCGCTGCAGGTCTGTGTCAGAGTTACAGTGGACAGGTCCTGGAAGTCAAATTTCCACAACATCAGGTCCTTCATCATTTTTGCATACCCTGGCATTTCTCTCAAAGCATCCATCAGTGGAATATTCAATTGAATCTGTCGAAGCATTTCCATGAATTTCCTGCATTGGTCATCTTTCTTTTGTTTTGCCAATCTCTGAGGGAATGGTGCAGGAGTCAACCTCTGTCCACTACTTGATGTCTTTTCTTTGTTGGAAGCTTTTGGCACAAGAGGTGCCACCTGTTCTGAGACTTGTTCACCATCTTTCTCCTTACCCTTATCAACTTGTGCTTGTTCAATTATAACCTCGGTGAGCTCTGTTGACTCATCTGCCTCTAATGTAACTGGCGTAGTTGGCGTAGTCTCTCTCGTAAATTGAGCAACTTCTTGCTCTCTATCTAAATCTCTTCCATTCCTGAGACTCACCGCCATTAGCTGATTTGGGTTCTGTTCCTTTAGGTTAATATTTGTATCTGCGGGCAATGTTCCTTGGGGGCGATTGTTCAAGGCCATAGACATCTGTCCCAGTTGAGTTTCAATGCCTTTGATTGTTGAATCATGTGCTGCTAACTTTTCTTGTATCTTACCATTTGTTCCAATGAGTTGTTACAGCATACCCCTGATTTCTACCATGTTGTTGTCATGTTGTTGATGAGGTGGTTGGTATGCCAACTGTTGCTGGTGCTGCTGATTATAGCCCTGCTGCCTTTGATAAGGCACAACTTGACCTTGTGGTCATGCACCTCCAGAATTGGGGTTGTGTTGTGGCAGGTTGGGTCAGTACTGTTGGTCCCCATTGTTGCCCACCTTGCCTCTGACCTCTAAAATTATTGACATAATTCATGTCTTCTCTGAATCCCTGATTGTCATTCTCTCCACTCCACGAGCACATATATGACTAGTTTATGCAAGGAGTGCACAATCCTCCATTCGTTGTATCAACAATGTGCACTTGCTTTGTACCCATCTCATCAATTTTCTTTGTCAGTATGCTCATATGAGTCATGAGAGTGGCTATGTTCTCTGCATGGGAATTGTTTGGGTCAAGAGCAACAAAATGCAATATTGGTGTAAGTGTCGTACCTCTAGCCATCCAGCTTAAATTTTGAGCCATCTTGTCAAGAAAAATCTTGCACTATGTGAATGTCTTGCTCAAAAATGCACTCCTAGCTGAAGTATCTACATTGGCCTTCAAACTATCTGCTAGACCCATGTAGAATCTCTGTCCCAGCATCTGATCTGTAATGCCATGGCGTGGACACTTCACTAGCATACCTTTGAACCTCTCCCAGGTTTCTTGTAAGGTCTCAGTTGCTTTCTGCCTGAACTGCAATATCTCATCAATCTACCTTGCAGTCTTGTTGGGAGGATAAAACTTGTTTAAGAACTGTTTGACTAATTCTTTCCAAGTGGCAATGGAGTTTATTGGGAGCGAATTCAGCCAAGTTTGAGCCTCTCCAGTCATAGAGAATGGAAACAGTAATAGCGTGACAGCTTCAGGAGTCACATTCGGCTATCTTTGGGCCACACATATTGATAGGAAATTCTTCAGATGTTGTTGTGGGTCTTCAATGTATGACCTAGAGAACATCCCCTTATTTTGCAACAGATGCAACATGTTGTTGGTGATCTGGAATGTCTCCGCTTATATCTGAGGTACAACAATGGTGGTGGCTAAGTTATCAGCAGTTGGTTGTGCCCAATCATAAAGAGAAGCTTCTAGCATAAGAGGTGCCACCACTCCATTGTTTGGGTCAACCCGATTATTTCGATTGTTTTCGTTGACATCGTCCACGTTGTCCATTTCAATTTCGAGTTTTTTTTGTTGTAACTGTTTGTTCTTCTTGTTGGCTCGATTTAATGCCTTGAATGCTTTCTCGGG